CCATCCTTCCATCCATCCCTCATCCATTAAACAAACTCTTTTGAGTTCTGACAGGTTCCTGATTCTAAGTTAGGTCTTTTGGCCATAGCATTGCACAAGACAGATCAAGTGATCAAGTCCTTACTTTCATAAAACCTTGATGTCCCCACTATTACACACACACACACACACATACACACACACACACACACACACCAACTTTGATTACACATAGAATTTTCAAATATTCTTGTTATTCCTAAATTAGTACACAAAGTAAGAACCTGAGCCCTATATTCATTCAAGTACAGTCTTTTTATCCTCAGCTCTGCTCAGCACAGGGCCCTGCTCTTCCACCAGCCCTGCTTGTTTTTACAGCCTCACTACCCTTGCCAGCAGCCCCACTCTTGGGCTATTGTGGTATCCAGGGATGCCCCTGGTGGTCTGAGGTCCTGTAGCAAAGTGATCACAGAGAAGCAAAACTGTGACTTCTGTAAGCTTTGTATTTCCTACCACTTTCCTTTTTATATTATACTTCCATGGGAATCAAGTGCCCCTTAGGGAATGACTTCCCTTGAACAAATGTGTTTGGAACCATCCGAATTTCAAATGAGTACATGAATATGATAGAAAATAATGGGCAAGTTGGAACAGAAAAAATAGACTTAATAGACAAAATATTTTCCCTGCGGTTTTAGACTCCCCTACCTGGGAAACAATTCAAATACAAGGGAGAACCTGATTCCCTGTTTACTGCAGAGTAGGTGCTCACCTGGCTAAAATTAGCTTTTAGATCACTGGGTTTATGGTGCTGCACTGAGCTCGGCCCCCTGGGGCTGCACTCTTACACTAGCTCTTATTCCTGTTGATTACCTGTGATCATCTACCTGCAAAGCTGTCACAGGTTATGCCTGCTAAACACCTTCACATCTGCAGATCATTAGCACTCCAGTCAATCCCTTGATCATAGCTGTTATGCCTACCTGGCATGATTTCCTTTTGTTCAATTGGAGTTGAAACCCCTTAGAAGCATAGATGCCTCTCCCAAGTGTGAGTTCCTGTAATCAGCATCTCACTTTAGGGTCTGCCCAGACATGCTCAAAATTAATTTCATAGCAGGAGATTTTTCTGCCTTAGTATTAGGATGGATTTTCTGCCTTGCACAGCACTGCAAAAGACTCTGTTTCACCAGTTTTTGAAAGTCAATATCAAACAAAAATGAACATGATTCTCCCATCTCTGCTCTGTGGTTTGTTTTCTGAGGGCTTCACTTATCATAACCTCCTCAAGTAAGGGGCAGAGCTCCTGGGTCCAAATCTTCTCCAGGAAAGTCTTTGGTCCTACTCCAAACTACCTCTTCAGGGGATGTTTTGGTTCATTGTGGCCACACATCTTGGTTTTCCTGATGAAAAAGTGGTACATGAGTAGCTGCTTTTAAATAACACTGGGCCTTCAATATAGCTCAGCAGGTGCCAAGCTTAAAGACCTGAGTTTGATCCCCAGGACCCATGTAGTGGAAAGAAAGAACTCACTCCTGAAAGTTTTCCTCTGACCTCCACATGAGCACTGTGGTACATGTGCCCCGTCTCACACACACACACACACACACACACACACACACACACACACACACACGCACACACACACACACACACACTAACTAAATAGATAAAGAAATACATAAATTTAAAAAATGTAAAAACAAATGTACCAGTCACAAAACAATAAACAGAAGTAAATGGGATATTGAGTACCTCTTACTCTGAACAGATGAGCTGTAGATACATGACATTATAAATAGCCACATTTAAGCACAGCCCTTTGCACTGTAAAAAACCATTAGAATTTTTCTTGGTTGAAGTAAAATTAACTTTTAACAGATAAGAGTTAACCCATGTTGAGACTTAGTCAGAATGACTCTCTTTATGTTTTACATGTATTAATTTGTTTACTTCTTAATCCTCTGTGTATATGCTAGTATCATTTCCCACAGTAATTAAACTTTCCCTGGGCCTCCTCAAATGCTGTGCAGCTTCTCCTGTCCTCCACACTAAGCAGGATTTTTTAAGAAATATGTATGCGTGTATTGCCTACATGTCGATAAGTGCACCCGTGTCGTACAATGCCCACGGAGGACAGAAGAGGCTGTTGGATCCCCTTGGACTAGAGTTACAGACAGTTGTTAGCTGCTATGTGAGTGCTGGGATTCGAATCTGGGTCTTCTGCAAGAACAGTCAGTGTTCTTAACCGCTGAGCCATTTCTCCAGCCCCACTAAGCAGGATTTTAAAATGCTCACTGCTCCTTAGTTTCACTTTAATTCAATAACTGCTCTTTAAATCCCTCAGGCCTCAGTTTTCAGCTAAGATTCTTAAAAGTAAATAAGGATCCTTCATCTTTCTGGTGGAACAATGTTAATGGATAACAGCAAACATGCAAGAAATGAAAACAAGGTGTCAATTCAAAAACTTAAAAAAAAGAAATTGTGATTCTGAAATCAACATGAATGAATCAGGAAGCCTTTCAGTGGCTGTAATTTTGTAACAGAGATTTGCTCCCATCTAGTGTCCAAAATGAAAATAACATGTAAACATGGTTATGTCTTCCCACTTGCATTTTAAGTCTACTACCTTGGGAGTAACTTTTAAAAAAAAATTCACTAAATCTTTATACATTAAATATGAAATATGAAAATTCTTACATTCACAGTTATCACTTTTCTTACTTTTTAAATTATTCCTTTGCTACATAATATTCTCTACTTAAATTCAGAGTTCCTTTCTAATTTAAATCAAGCCTTAGAAAACAGCATAGAGCTAATTTCCTATAGAGACAACTACTATGTTTTTGGACCACATAGATTTTTTTTTAAGGCAAATTTTGTTGTAACCATTGTTATTTGGATAGCTGATGTATTTACTGCTTCAAAGGCCTCTAAGCTGATTTATGGCTGGTTCATCTCAACTCTGTGTTAATTACATAAAAGGCCACAGTTACATGCTCAAAGCTTTGCATATGATATCTAGAATAGTTTTCATTAGTCCACATAAATATTCACTGATTTTACATTTTGAAATGTTTTATATAAGAGCCCTGATCATTATTTATCTTTTCATAAATATGATCTATCTCCACAATGAAAGCATAGGTTATAATATGTTTGCACCCCTCAACCTAACAATGTCCTGTCAATGTTGCACTACTTGTAGACTTTTAAGTGTGTATCTGAACATTATGAAACACTTAATTCATGTTGATTTCTTTTCACTTAGAAATGTTAACTGGGCAGATCTGGAGCCTTTCCTCCACAGAAGCTGCTGCAGAAGCCTGAAGTGCCATTGTCTGGAGGCCTAGACCTGACCCAGAAAACCATTGTTCCCTTGAATGAGGAAACACGTCTGCCTTCAGTCCTCCAATGGATGTTTCTAACAACACAGGACTTTGGGGGCAGTGAGAAATACGGAATGTTTAAGATGGGTGGTAATTTTGAGCACCAGCAATTGCTGACACTGAGGGCAAACTATGCTCTGCAAATTTCCCACCTAAAGCAAAGCAATGATATCATTTTCCAAGAAAATGTAAACAAAGATAAACAAAACCAGTATTAGCATTAACCACTGAGAGTAATATGAGGTTCAAGAAGCTGGGTACTTTCCTGGATTCCTCTGTGTTCATGTCATTTGCTCACCCAAAACTTATCAAGTGGTTATTTTCTGATGGACACGGTGTTAGATGATAAGTTGAACATTAGTGACAGGACTCATACCTGTGCCATCTTGGAGTTTACTGTCCAGAGGGACAGCCTCCAGGGACCCACTGTTTTCTCTCAAAACAGTTTCAGCCTCATCCAGCCTGTGTGCTTTAGTAAGAACCATGTCTAGCTGACATGAGGCCATGTGCCTCCCACACAGAGTGAACAGTGGATACATTCTTTGCAGTGCTCTAAGCCTCACCAAGTAAGTACCCTGAGATAAGCAGCTAGTGCATTACCACTAATGATCAGAGCTCCAGGCCTCCTAATTTCAAGGGATTTAATTAACACATCCTCTTCGCACTGACCAACCTGCTTTTACTTCACCCAAGTGGTAATCTATTAAATAACTTTAGCCTCTCAGGACTTTGTCACGTGGCTTGACTTCCAGCATCTCAGGGCTTTCCTGACCCAGGACCATTTTCATCCCTTATAGTAATAAGCTTATTACTGTCATTTTCTAATGTGTTTAGTATATTGGCCAGTGAAGTAATGGAAGATTATCGAAACCATTTACTGTAAAATTGGATTTTATGTCTAATGATTTTACATGTGTTAAACGTCTAAATAGATGCACTTCTGAACTATTGGGATGACTTCATCCCAAAGTACATTTTAAAACCAATGGTGCAATGGCTACCAGCTGATAGTATTCCATGCCTAAAAGCAACATTGACTAGTTGCACTGGTCTGAACCCCATGACCATAATCAGCTTGAGCCTTGGAGACAAATAGGCACCCATCACTCTGCTCTGAAATTTGGTCAGGTGCCCTCATTACTGCTTGGCCCCTCGACAGTGGTGGCATCTGAACTTCAGTCTTTTATCATTACCCTTCCATTATTAAAAATAAATAAATAAATAAAGTTTCCATTTTTAGTTGCATCCATTTTTTTTCATTTATAATGCTTTTCCATTAAATACACACATACATCACAATCATGCCAAGATTCAGAAAGACAAAAACTGAATGTTTTCTCTCATATGCAGAACCTAGACTTAAAATTATACATGTATGTGAGCACATGGGGGGGATCATGAAACTAGAAAGCAGGATCATGAACAGGAGGAAGAGATAGATCTTAAAGAGGAAGAGGACCATGGAATACAGTGGGCACCGGGGCAGTGGTGAGTAGTGCTCAGTTAGCACAAAGTATAGTGACCCATATGCATGAAAATGCCATAACAGAAATCCAGATATCTTAAAATAAGTATTTTAATTTAGAGAGTTTGGTTTTAAAAATAATGCGCACACAGCCTTTGATTTGCATCTGTGTCTTTATTGCTTTTGTGTTCAGTACAAACCCTTTGCTTCAGTGCTGTCTTCCTTTCTGTTCTAGGAATCACTCATTCCAGTCTCCTCCCATTCAAAAGACATCAGAGAGTTTTTATTTTAATAGGCATGCATAGATAAAAGTAGTGAAATAAAAAATGAATGACCCTGCTTCAGGTAAAGAAAACCATATTTAGGAAGAAGAAATTCAAATGATGGGTGAAAATTTTTTAAACATCTGGTCTTAATTTGTTTCTTTTTATTGCTAATTGAAACCAGGTAATCTTGGTAGTAGCTAAACTTCAACAAGTGATGGAGTTCTTGCTGGTGTTATTTAAGAGGTAAAACATATTATGAACTCAATTCTTAAGGTCCACAATCATTTTAACCTCTGGTTTTGCTTTACTGTGATAGGACTGGCCCACACCTCCACGTTCAACTACAGTTAGGATCAGTAACAGCATGAGAATAGGAAACCTGAGGTTTCAAGAAATTTAAGATGCTCGACGGCCATTTTTCTGTGTCTCTACTCATCCATCTATTTCTTCTTCACTGAACCCTTACTACAAAACACTAATTTTATAGAAAAGGTGATTGTTACAAAGGTCAAGTGTGACATCATGCTTCTGTGTTAGATAGTGTCAAAAGGAACCTCGGCTTCTTAGCACGACTTTCATCCCCTTCTAGGTGTTGGAGCCGGGAGCACCAGGAGGAGGCACTCCAGCTCTCTCGGGTCAACTTCCTTTCCTGAAGAGGGCAAGCCCAGAGCCTCACTTGAAGGAGGCCCTCACCACGCGGCCCTTAACTGGCTGCGGAGGGCGCCAGTTCCCCACCAGAGGCACGGGCGGTTCGTTCTCCGCGCTGGCGAAGAGACTGCGCAGCTTGGCCATCTGCAAGGGAAGACAGGCTATTAGAAATCGCTGGTTTTCTGAGCAGGCAAACCACAGACTTAAATTCGGTGATGGTTCCGGAGCCAGCAGCTTCCAGTTCATAAAATAAGTTTTTCCTCAGAACTAGGCTCTCCATGCCCTCCCCTGAATCCCCTTGCAACCTGAATTTCTCAATTTTAAATTGAGGGATCAGTCTCAGCAGCTTAATGACACACCTTTATTCCTAGCAAACAGGAAGCAGAGGAAGGGGATCTCTGTGATTTGGAGGCCAGCCTGGTCTACTAGCTGGGGTTACAGGGAGACCCTGTCTCAAAAAACATAAACTATTATTATTGTTATTATTATTGAAAGGTCAATATGAAGTGTACAATTTACATAGAAGCAGGTGACGATTTAACATATGCATGCACATAAGCTTAATAGGCTTGTACCGTCTAATCAAATCAATTATGTACAGAATTAATTACTTTAAAGAACTAGAAAGAAATTAGAATTATGCTACATGTTAAATTGTAAAGTGACTTTTTTTTTTCTTAAAGGATAAGAAAATAGGAAATTCTTATTAAGAATATTGTGCCTCAGGAGGCAAGATGGCTCAGTGGGTAAGGTGCTTGCTGCCAAGCCTGATGACCTAAGTTTGATTCCTGGACCCACAGGGTGAAAGGAGAACCAACTCCTGCAAGTTGTCCTTGGTCTCCACATGCCCCCACCCCCAACAAATAAATGTACTTTTAAAATTAAAAACAATTATGCCTCTATATTAAAATGTTTTTCAGCTTTCCTTCCTGAGTAAATTTTATTCCGCTTTGAAAACCTTTATGCCAAAGAAAAGACCATTAGATCTGATCCTTGATTTTTTAAAATGTTGATTTAATTTTTTAAAATGTTGATTTTTTAAACTGTTGGGTTGATTTCTTGTACAAGAAATATACAAGCTGTTGTCTTAGGCCAAGGAGCCAGCCAGGTAACGCTGGTTTACTGCTAGAATGCATGTGGGAGGTGGTGAGTCCCTGTGAGACTCATTTCTCTCCTTCTCCATGTCCACACCCTCTTTGCTTTCCCTGAAGTTCTCTCTAGTAAACGTTGCCAGGACATTCTTTAGATGAATGGAAGTAAGGGAGGAGTAAGAAGAGAAGCCAAGAGCTGTTGACCTAGTCAGGCCGCGGCTGGGACTAGGATCCTATACTTCGCTGTGTTTGTGGATAAATTATTGTATGTTTCTGAGCCTCACCTTTATCTACAAAACTGGAGGAATGTGTTTCTATCTACAAAACTGTTGGAATGTGTTTCTCCTTGGAACGACTTTACTAAATACATCCCTTCCACTCCCTTCTCCTCTCCAGGCCTTAATTTGATGCCTGATCTCTTAACCATGCTCACTTCATATTAATCCAAACCGTAAGTGTCCGCCGACCGTAAACCCAATCGTGGTGCACTATCCCACTGGTGTATAAGGATTACATTAATCTGGCACCGTTGGGAAGCTTGGTTTGAGAAAGCTGAACAGGCTGACGGTAATTCTGCAGGGCAAACTGTGAGATGCAGAGGATAAGCGTGCTTTCTGCAGTCCTATTTTCACTTCCGCATCAGCCTTTAGCATTCCTGTTCACACACAGGGCTCTGCGCCAGCGCTGACCTGATCGGAGCTCACGGTCATGGGCTCCTTCAACAGCAACCACACGATGCACTCCTCGCAGGGGGGCGTGGTGAAGGAGCCGTGGTAGGTCCAGTAGTCCCGGCAGGCGGGGAACAGGCAGGACGGGTTGAAGTGCGGGAAAGGAGCCTCCTTGCCCTGGAAGACAAGGCGCGGACACCGTGAGCTCGGTTGTGCACCCTGCGCCCCCTGCAGGCCTCACCGATTCTTAAGAGCCGCATTTCAAAGGCAAAAGAGAAAACAATTGAGAATGGGTTTGTGTTCTGATTTTATCTGTCATGGTTGTTGTGACATTTTACTCCCTGTTTTCATAGGGTGTAGAACTGTAATTCTGTCAGTCCTCTCAGGGGAAACTCACACTGTATCCAAAGTTTAATAGAATTATTTCACGTAAGTTAGTATTTTTGCAAACTTGCATTTTAGTGAATGCTATATTCAGAATACTTCCTTTTTCTACTGTTCAGACTTAAAAGCCGCTACTTAAAATAATCTCAAAGGCAACTAAAATGTGTCTGTTTGTTTGAAAAGTTTACTGTTAATATTTAAATTTTAGAGGTTCTGCCAGGATTTAAAGAGCAGCACTGGGTAGCATGGAGGTCATCAGAGGTCCTGTGTCCACTGTGGGTGGGGGAAAGAGGAGAGACCACTGAACCTCTGACTCACCTACTTCTGGGGAAAAGTCCTTAATCTGACAGGCTGACTGTGGCAAATATGATATATATGACAGTGCTCTAAGAATCAATAATAATCACATTTATTTTTATATGCAAACACAATATATCCATCAAACTTAGTGACAGGCTTTATCTGAAATGTGAAAGATTGTGCTCTGCCTTATGTTTTCTAAGGGAAAATAATTCCTCTTACCTTTGTCTTAATTTTGTCCAGTGCATCAAGGAGAAGCTGGAACTCGCCTTTCTCCCGTCCTATCTGTAAAAAAAATTGAAATGCAATGTGATACTTTTCCCTCCTCCATAATTTAAGATCATCTTAGAAGCTGGTTTGATTCACCCATATGCAGTTAGTGTTTATAAACTTGCCAGAATATCTTGGGCTAAGTCAAACATAAGTTTATTTTTTTCCCCTAAGATTTTAGAATATATGTTTTCTGATCTAAACTTGGATTCCAGTCCTCTGAAGTACAAAACCACAAAATTATATGTTGATCTGGTTCTGTGTCCTTGACTGTTCCTGCAAAGTCATTCATTTTTTAAAAAAGTAAAAGCGAGGGCAGACTATGGATCCCAAAGTAAAATCACTATTTTCCTTTCATTCTCAGCCCACTCAATGAATTCATGCCCTAAAACAAATTAGGTCATTCAAAAAGAAGAAAGCCAGATTTTCACCTCTGGTTTAGCGTCTTGATCAAGTTACCACAAAATTCATGTGTTAACAACACTAAATCCTCTTTAAACCAAAGCTGGCTGAATAACACAGGCATTCCTTGTGCCATCCTAGCCTGGGATCCTGTGGGTGGTAGCCACCTTAAGCCTAGGGGATGTCCAGCCAGGCACATGGCATCACAGAAGTTCCCAGCACTGGCTTTCTGGTTTCCAGTGTGATCAAAATGGAGTAGAGGGAAAAGAAAATGAACACATGCCACCCTCACCCTGGCCCTCTCCTTCACCCTCACTATCATAAGCTCCCTTAACACCTTTGCCCTCACATATCCGTCAAGCATAGGGAGAGTGAAACTCATGGTCCCCTAAGCATTAAGAAGGAACTAATTCTGAGAGAGAAAAAAATGTTATTAATGTCTACTTCACCTTCAGAAAAATGCCAACCACTGCAACTCCATCAGGCTGCTTTAGAGCTTCCCCAAAAGTGTTATACTTTGGATTCCAGTGAACCAGATGAAGCTACAACCATAAAGCACAGGTCAGGAGGTAAATTTTTAGAATAAGGAAATAAACAGAAAGTTGTTCACAAGAGACCCAAACCTGTACTGTCTCAAAGTTGTTACTTAACACTCATAGAAGTTGATACAATTCTAAATATTAACATGCACTACTTTGGTAAAAGTTTACTAGTCAAATAAAAAGTGTTTGAAACCATTTACCTCCTCTTAGTCAGAGCTCCAGAGTCTGGCAACAACCTTATCTTAATTTAGAACATGAACACAAGTTAAGTTAATCAAGTTTCCCATATTGAGTTACTTAGAATTGCAGGGGAACATAATAGTTTGTAACTGTTAAAAAATTTTATTCAAGATCAAATGTGTGAATTAATTCCATGCACAAAAGTCACACTTAAAGCCTTTCCCCCGTTAGGAAAAAAATAGCCTGAACTGTCCTCATGGGGAGAGAGAATGAATAGCAGGAAGGCATTCTCAATCATTTCTCTCTTGCCACTAGCTCTCTAGATTAGGGGTAGGAAATGGAATGAGTCTATGGCCATACCACCCTGAATGCACCCGATATCATCTGACTGTCGACATCAACCAGGGTCAGACCTGGTTAGTACTTTGAGTTTCCTGGAGTTTCATTTAGCTGATAGTAAAGTGCCTAGTGATGCTGCCAACCAGAACATCCACAGTGTGCCTCCACATTCCCATCCCAGCCCTGTGCTCACCAGTGGCTGCCCTTGGAAAAGAGTGGTGTGGAAACTGAACCGCTGCTCACTCTAGGGTAGCTGCTATACGAACTTTGTTTTTTAGTGAAAACAATAAGTGGCTTGTCTTATTCTATTTGAAATTTGGTGCCTTAATATGAGCTATACTCACATGTAGTCTCCCTCATTAGAAAATGAGCATTATCCATAATTAATAAATTCTATTTTTTTGAATTACTGTATACTCATAAACAAGGCATCTAATGGCAGCTTGCATAAAAAATACCAGGTTTAGCACTCATCCACTGTGTGCCTTTAATATGTCATATTTCCGTGCCTCGGTGGCCTCATCTGTAACCTCTTTCATAAGGCTGTCGAAAAGATCAAATGTATTATGCAAGCACTTCACAAGTGTTGGCTGTCCTTACTGTTCTGATTCCATTCAGGATGATGGCCAATTTCTCAAGAAAAGGTTATATAGGATGCTGACCCACCTGCCTTCTCCTCTCTGGGCCTAGAATCTTTATGCTAAAACTACTGTTCACAGACAGGGGCTTGAAGCAGAAACAGTGCTGCAGCTGCTTTTAATTTTCCACTTTTGACTGTGGGAGACCCAGAGTAGATTGGGAAGTTCCTCCTACCTCTGCCGCATATTTCACTCCATCCACTGTGTGCTCAGAGCCATGGTCATCCGAGGAGCCCCAGTGAAGATGGAATTGGCGAAGTCGGTAGGGTCCAGAGAGAGGACCACCCCTCAGCACTGTGAGTCAAATAAGTGACTGGTGAGTTCACCAGTCTCTGCAGAAACCCACCTGAATGAAACAGATATTTTGCAGACAAGGCTCCATGGGTAACAAGTGTCACCTGATGGGCAGATGAAGCCATCTCCAAAGACTCCAGAGTGCTTACAATACGAAGTAAGAATATATCAAAATAAGAGAATTTTCTTTCCTCTTTAATTTTGTTTGCTCATCTTGTTATTTTTGAAATGTTATTTTAACACTTTGGAATCAAATTAAAATACAAGATGTGCTATAGGGAGTCACGCACCCCAAGAACAGGTTAGTAGTACAGTACTCTTGGGAAAAATTGGACAATTGACAGCAAGGCAGATTTAAATACCATTTCTGACTGCACCCCTTCAGAGCTGTGTGATCTCAAGCAAGCAGATCTACTTCTCTGAACTTGCCTTTACATCTCTAAGAAGCTGATAATAATTCCACACTTTGAGAACTGCTGTGAGGACTAACTGAGATTAAGTACCTTAATGGTGCTCATCACAGTGCCTTCTCACAGAGCAAGCAGCGATTCCTTCTTGTTTTACTTTCAGCTCTACTTTTCCTTAAGATGAAAAGCAAGAACTTTCATCCACATCTACTCAAATCTCATGAAAGAAAGATTTAGAAATTTCCCAGGAAACCAATCAGTGTGGACTGCTGAATGGGACCATCTTGGTGATTTAGCCTTGTAGTACAGCATCTGTCTCAATCTCTCACTTGATTTGGTCTCAATTCATTCCATGTGGAGAGTAATGTAAAGGCTCAAATACCTTCCAAAGGATACTGAAAACTACATTGAAACCCTAAAATCAAGATTTAGCAGCATGAGTTAGATGAAAACAGCATTCTAAGGCAAACTATTTTGGAAATGATTGTCTGCTCTGACACAGGGAAACCCACCAGGTAGATTGAAAACTATAATGCCTAGGTTTGAGTGAGCTTGGTCCTCTGGGAATTAAGTGATTTGAGTCACTGTATTGTCTTGCCCATTGTTGGGAATAGCCATTATCTGGATATGTGAGTCCCATTTATTGGAGTAAACCATATGAACTTGCCAATATTTAACTACCTTTGTATATAAAAATAGTATTTTCATGTATTTCTTTCTAATGAGTACTCTGATTTTGTTGTTTTTCCTTCCAAATACAGCTTAAGTTTTTTAAGGCAAAGGGGAAAAGAAAACATGAAAACATTGTTCAAGGAATTATAAGCTTTTGTCTTCTTCTTCTTTGCCTGGAAGTCACAATTTTATTCAATACAACATCCTTAAGGAGATTAATTTATATATTTCAGTAAGGAAAATTTTAGCTCTATCAGGAACATGGTTCTAGGAAAGTGTATTCTTAGTTCCTAAAGGATAATTCTTAAACTCATTTACAATAAAATAGGTGTTATGTTGTTGTTGTTTTGTTTTGTTTGGGGGGTTGTTGGCTTTTTTGTTTGTTTTTAGCCCAGGCTGGCCTAGAACTATTGCATAGAACATTCTAGCCTCACATTTGTGGAAATCCTCCTGCCTCTGCCTCCTGAGTGCTGGGATTACAGGTGTGAACCACCAGGTCTGTCTGAAATAAAGCATTTTAAATTAACCTTCTTTTTTTTTCATAGATTGCTTGCTGGTGTAGGTTAATTTTTTTTAATCATATGTTTTTTTTTTTTTCCAAATTTTGAACAAACATTGACCCAAGAAGAAATGATCAGCTCCATCAGGAATACTCACCAGAAAGATTCTTCAGATGAATACCAGTGAAGCCCTGAAGCCAGGTCACCTAGACTCAAACAGTGGCCCTACTCTGTCCCAGCTACCAGGGAAAGAAAGTACCCATTGTATTTCTTGCTATGTTGGGGAGCCTGTTATGCAGACCATCAGAAATATAAGAACCTCAGGTCTCCCTTGGCAGTCAGAAAGTCCATGTGGACTCCCTGTCATCATGACCCATCCTACTGTCTCAGGAGTATATCGCCAACATTTACCTTGGGCACAAGGCCATTTTGCAACAACAGAGTGACCAAAGTAAGAGGGTGTGACATTCTTCCTCAATGCATAAATATAATTCTTTACAACTAAAGCCAAGCTGAATGGCATCTCCATTTCAGGGATAAAGTTCCCCATTAATTCCATTACTGTGTCATAAATCACATCTTGTCAGTAGATACTGAAAACATCCGTCCAGCCCTTTTTAAATGCTTTACTTACTGGACCTGTCATAGGTATCATCAAACACAACTCTGCATGTCTTCCCGTTGTTCAAGATGGTTTTGGCAGAGCCGGGATCGTAAGAGGCTGACCAGGGCTGCAGAGAAGGATCATGCTTGATGTCTTTAGTATGTAGCTCAATGGGTGACTGGTTGTCCCCCTTGGCAATCGGATAAAGTTCGTGCCAGTGCTCGGGACCTAGGAAGTGAAGGTAAGAGGATTTTATAGTACAACTCAAGACCTCTTTCTAATCGAATAAGCCAGCAACATAAACAGAGGCCAAAGAGTGATTTCAGAAGGTTCTTGGGTCCAGATTGAGCAATATAGCACTTTGCATTTAAAACCTATTCATAGCTTTGCTTGTTTATACCTGGAGACTATTTTCATCTGTGCATTCCTTCCACTGGCTTGGGAAAACATATGACCTGCAAACCTTGTCTTTGAAATGGATTCACACATGGAACACATACATTTTTTTCATTACTTTTTGGATCTCAGAGGATACTACTGCTTTTTCCCCCATTCCTGAGGCTGACTCCATATGCAAAGCAGAGATTCTTACCAGCATCAGGCTTAGAGAACAAACACTTGATCAGTGTCACAGAGTAAGATATAACCAGACCTGATCTTGGGTTGGCTTCTCAGTCAGAGGCAACTGGCCTTAGGCAAGTTACTGAGATTCCCTTAGCTTCAGATTCCTCCAAAGGAAATAATAGCTCCATGGGGGGAGAGAGAATAAAATGGGTAGTGTTAAAAGGAAGAGCAGCATGTGGCACCTGGAAAGTGCTTGATAAATGCTAGTTCTTACCCCACTCCTACCCACTTTTTCCAGTGCCCCCTCTACGCCCCTGCTTCCTGTGCAATGCTAGGGGCCACCCTGCAGTGTTCCGGCCCACTCACCATTGTGGCTGGCATAGCCCCACTCTTTGGCCATGATCGTCTTTGTGTTTCTCCACGCTGGACAGCTCCCACCTTCTCTCTCCTGTTGTCCTACAGAGTCCCCAAGAGCCCTGTCTTTTATACAGATCTCTTGCAAGCTGCATGGCCTTATTAGGCCAGCGGGGTGGGGCAGGGGGCTAAACTGGACTGGGGTAGTATTCGGAAGGCGGGGCGGGGGAAGCCAATGAATTACAAGACCTGGACAGCTGTCCGGGTGAGAGGGCGGCGGTCCCCCTCCCTGGCTCTCCCGGGAGACTTGGCTCCTGCTCTTGCATCTCTCCCTGTCTCCCGAAGCTGCAAGGCTTTCTAAGAGAGCTGACTCTGGACTGGTGCTGCTTCCCTCCCCTCTTTCAAGCACTTGGGGGTCTAGGGGATACTTGTGGGGGCCGAGGCTGCGGGTGCTAAGGCCCCTTAGCCAGCCGCTAAAAGCTGCACACGCAGTTCTTGCAGCCTCACTTAGAAGTCCCTTTTACCTCAGGCTGGGACCTGCTGCCTTCTCTGGACGCTGGAGTTCCTTTCCCTGTAGGGGTCCGGTTACCTTGGCGGGAAAGAATTCTGAACCTCTGGCCCTGCTTAACTCCGTTGCAGAAAACTCAGAAAATCCCAGGAGCAGAGATGGGAAGGAGGCCGGGACTACAGGCTGTCGGGTTAGGTTATCCTTAAAGAGATGATTCTCTCAGACAGACCGTGCCAGGCAGGACACACATCCAGCTTTTTGTCCAGCCGGACACCACCGAGTGCGGAGGGCAGGAAGAGACTCTGGCACCTCAGTCTCAAAAAGCAACAGTCTGGGACTGAGCCACACGCGGAGCTGTGCTCTGCTCAGCTCGGACACGGAGAATAGCTGGAACATTGAAAGGGTCCCGTCATAAAATTAGTACACTTTCTAAAACATTATTTCACTCTCCAAGACATAATGAAAGACTGGGCAAAAAGGAGGAAAAAGGCTTACAGAATCGGTTTGCGGGGAGCTTGTTTATTTTCTCAGGGTCTCAAAGTGTTTCTTAATAAAATGAGCCACATAAAAGGAGACTAAAACTAGCATATTCCATATACACATGGCAAAATTATAACTTAAAATGTCTAGTTAAGGTTCACATTTAAAAAGTCAGTATAGTAGACATTTGCAATTTTATACATATATTATAAAATTCCTTGTTTGGAGCCAGGAGTGGTGGTGCACACCTATAATCCCAGCACTCCCCGGGAGGCAGAGACAGGCAGATTTCTGTGAGTTCCAGAACAGCCTGGTCTACATAGTGAGTTCCAGGCCAGCTGGGGCTACAGGAAGACCCTGTCTCAAAAAGGCTGAAAAACAGAAACAAAAAACAAAAAAGAAAAACCCAAAAGAAGAAAAAAATTTATTGTATGGGCAGGAATATTGTTTAAAAAGGCAAGAAACACATTTCCAAGCTGTATTGAACAAGATTCTGTGTACATTTTATCACTTTGACTTTTATTTATGGCTTTATTTTATTTTATTTTATTTTTTTGTACTAAATGACTGCAAAACCTGAAAAGGAACTCTCTCATCACAGCTAAGACAGCTCGTTGGCCAGGCATGTGGAATGACTGACCGCACTCATAACCTGGACGCCAGAGGAGTCAATCCCCAGGGTATTTTTGTGACCAGGATTACTTGATCCACACAATAGCACTGTGGAATCTGGAACCTAGGCAGTTTGGAAAACCCAAGCAAGCACAGGGAACCAAATACCCTAGCTCTGAGCTCAGACACTCTAAGTTCCATTAGAGGGGTGGTACCTAGCCAGGTTTCTAACTCCCTGTGATAACTGCTGCTGTGTTTGGGGTTGATAGAGGTGCTTTAAATTGCTTGCTAGCTCCATGGTTATTAGTGTAAGCCATAATCTCATTCCAGTTCATCAACTGTGACTCATAACTTACTAGACCTCATAATTACCACAATAGTTTCGATATTGATATTAATATTGAGGTAAAATAGGAAAGGAATGAATACATGCATTTATACCAAATCCATCTAAGAATTAATCTTGCTACTACTGTTTATGCCTACAATTTCTTTTTAAAAGGTTTATTTGTAATTCAACAATGCACACAATGGGACATAATTTCAAAAAGTATTAGGTAGAATTTGCAAAAGAAATTTCTAACAACATTAGAAAACTGGTTTTGAAAACAGTACTTGATATTTTTATTGCATTGTCTTTTAAGAAATTAATGAAAACTATAATTTAACATAATAAAAAATTAGTAACTTTAGATTATAATAGATTTTCAGAGACCTCCTCTGAAATCATTTGCAAATAAATTTTCAAAAAACCTCATCTACAAACTTATCATCTGCATCTTGATTTACTTCAACCTGCTTGACTCTAAATTTCAAAATTATCCACAGAGAAAGAGATGATTCTAAATTGTGCCCAAGACTTGGAGATTTTCTGGAACTGATTTGAAATAGAACACTGTTAGGTACACATCAAAACAAATTGGGCCAGGAAACAAAAAGAGCTATTGATAATTGATTATAAACTACCTCCTCCTATTCTTCCAGTAGCATCATTAGAAAGTTAACATAGTGGACAATTTTCAGGATTTTGCTCCAAAAATGGGACATAGAGATCAGAGAAAAAAAAAGAGAGAAAACTTAGGTTAAGAGGAGTCTTTGGGAGGCAAATGTTATATGAATACAGAAATTTTCAACTAGATAATAGCAAACTGTGAATTTAAAAGCTTTAAAATGATAGCATTTAGATGTATTTAGATATCTATTAGATAAATATAATTTACCAGTTCATTGTGCAAAGATGCCATGTCATACAACTAACTCAAATTTTTCACAAATTGATATCATTTCATGTTTGCATTGCATTGTTGAAAGTGAAAAGTGAAGGTGAGGCACGTAGCTCAAATGCAGAGCATTTGCCTAGTATGCACAAGACTCTGGATGCAGCCTCCAGGAACACACACACACATACTCACACACACAAAGCTAAGACAGGCATAGTGAATCATGCCTACTAATTCTAGAACTTTAGATTTGGGGTCTGGGGTAAGAGGATCATAAGTTTGAGGCAGCCTGGGCTACACAGTGAGTTCAAGGTCAATCTGGGCTATATACTGAGACCCTGTTTAAAAACAACCAAAGAGGAAAAAAAATCAAGCACTTGTTTACTTATTCACCTCTGAGATCAAAGCACCAACTGGATTTGAAGTAACTGAATAATTTAGCTTAAATATTGTATTACAGGAACATGCCTTTTCTACTACTTTTTGGAAGAATAAGTTCTAGGACAGGAATATAAAAGTGGGTAATAAAAATAAAAATTTTAATTAATCTATTTCACTGCAATAAATATCCTGACTTTGACCTTCCTTCTCCTCATTGTTAGTTAAAGTTTGGCTAATGATATTCTACAGGAAAATGACAGGCCCAGCTCCTGAGTTTGCCACCAGTGACAGCTGGGCTGTTTGGATCAGATCCTACATTTGGTCCCTGTCCATGGCAAGGTTGTAGGAGAACAGCCTGGATTCCTACCCCTTATGGGATGTGTGGTGTGAAGCTGGTCACTGTTTTTGAGAGTGGGAACAGGAATCTCAGGATGAAGTCCTCCTAGATCTACCCAGAAAGAGCTGGTCATCAGGGTGGATAAACTCAAACTGGTTTCTTCCAAATATAAATTGTTATATTAAAATATAGTAATAGAGCATTAAATGAAGAAAAATTTATTAAACTTTTTGATGTGTTTTCTTAGGATCAAATGTGGATCATCAAGTCTAGGTTTTAATAACTGAATAATAGTACTTGCTTGTAGAATTAACGGGTAGAATTTTGTTTTGTTTTGATATTTCAGAAGCATTTAGGTGGCCATTTGCCCCCATTTTCCTTTGGCCTTTGGTGCTTCAGTGGGAAATGAAGGCACTAAAGGACTATAAAACAAGTTAAGTGCTTTATAAGTGCCTGCCTTACAAGGTTCTTGTGAGGCTTAAATGAAATAACATATAAAGTGCTCAACATAGCTTAGGACAGTACAGTGAGCACTCAGCAAAGTGAGTGTCCTTCCTTGCTAACTATATTTAATGTCTTTCTGCGTAGTCACCTACCCTAAATAATCCTTGCTCTTATTAGCCATAAACAGTGTCTTCCTTGAAAGTTGCAAAGCCTAGGTACTAACTCGCAGACATCATGAGATGAAGGGCACATCTTGTCTGTGTGAAATAAACATCAATACTCACAGCATGCACTGTTTCCTGAAAACTGGAACTGCTTGGACTAATCGCTTGTTGGCCCTTTTCACCATGGCAATCATAGCAAATCTTTCATTCACAGAGGATCAATTGTACACAAAATACATCATAAACTGTGATAAGACCTCAAAGCATGTAGGTCTTACAAGGCTTAAAACTTGTCAGGCTACTTGATAAACAATTTTTAATGTTATAAATATTTCTGAATTTATACTCTTCCTAATGGACTGCCAGGTGTTTTCAGAAGCCTAGCACACCAGCTCTTCACCTACCCTTTATTGCAGTTATAGAACATCCTTTAGCCTTCCCGTAAAGCATTTTGTTCTTCCTTATTGTGTGCCTTTTCTCACATTTTCCTTTGGCTCAGCTACTCTTTCCCTTTTCTGTACCTGAGAGTTCAAAACTGTTTATGTCAGCAATTACAAAGACTGTGTTGCATATATAAAAAGGTTTATTTTATTTATTATTTTTATTTTATGTGTATGAGTGTTATGCCTGCATGATAAGTAAGTGCACCTGTGTCATGCAATGCCCGCAAAGGACAGAAGAGGCTGTCGGATCCTCTGGAGCTGGAGTTACAGTTGTTAGCTGCCATGTGGGTGCTGGGATTCGAACCCGGATCTTCTGCAAGAACAGTGTTCTTAACTGCTGAGCCATCTCTCCAGCCCCAACGCTGTTGTCTTTAACATCAGTTAGTGTGTTAAACCCATTGTCTTTGTTCTAGCTGACATTCTAACTCAAGACCAAGTCATTTGTTGGGGTTGTATTGACTTCTGTTGAGAGAGAAGAAGAAATACTGATGTAAATTATTTTTGCTTC